GGCCCGGGTCGCAGTGGACAACCCGCGCACGAAGTAGTGCGCGAGGGCTTGTTCTGAGAACACGGCCGTGCATCGGAACGCGGCGGATTCCAGCCGGTCCGCGAACGTGTTCTCGGTTTCGTGAGGAAGCTGTCGCGCCGACGCGACAGCATCAAACGCTTCCCCTAACACGTCGTCGGTTAGGTAGCGTTTGATAAATTGGTTGACGAGACCAGGCCAGCTCGTATCGTCGTGGAGCTGGCCGGCGCGGAGGCCGCGCATGGTATAACTCGTATACAACCGCTCCGCGTCTCGCTCGAGGAAGTGAGCGAAGACACGGACTGCCACACCTTCGGTCAGGTGCTGGGCATTGAAGGTTATCCGGATATCCTTCAGGAACGGGAGCAACTGAATCGCATCAGTACCGTCGAAGCTCTTCATCGTGGGGCGGAGCCCACGGCAGCGTTGGACGTACTTGGCGATCCGTCCCGCGTCACCCGAGGTAACGAGCCTCGAGGTGTTGTCCAACCGATACATCCGGTAGTTCGCGACGGCGCTGAACTCCTGTATCATGGTGTGGACGGGCTCGACCCCAGGTTCGGCGGGACCCAACGTTCCGAACGGCGTGACGGGCAGCGTTCGGATGTCGACGGGGCCGGGATGCGCGGTAAGATCCGCCGGCTGGTAGCCGCCCCAGCGAGGATCGAAGGGGAGAATCGGTTCTCCTGATCCGCGGGCGACTTCTCCACGGCCCTGGTCGAGTTTGGTCGGTACCCGTCGTGACTGCCGCATGCTTCCGGGGACATGCGGCAGGGCTTGAGTCTCGGACGCGAAGTTCGCGTCCGCCGTCGGCTTGATGTCCTCCACCCTCCGGCTGGTGACGGCACCAGCCGGGGGCCACTCTTGCGATCCGGACGCGACCGGAGGAACAGTGGAACCGGGCCTACTCGAGGAGGCTCCGGGCGGCCTCTCGGCCGAGGTCTGTTCCATCTCACGGGCACGGCGGCCCGTTGAGTTAAGTTCCGCCGCCATATGCGCGAACGCTCCCATCTGTTTGGCAGATGGGAAGGGTTGCCGGTCTCGTCGAACCCCGGAGTTTGCACTCGCGGGTCGACCCGCAACCTCTACGGCAGGGGAATCAATGCGCGCGTCCTCTACCAGCACCACACGGGCGTGTAGCTGGTCGACGAGTGCGCGCAGGTTCTCCAAGGACTGAGTTACGCGCTCGAAGCTTCCTTCGCGGAGGGAGCGCAACTCTTCCATACAGCGGGCGTAGACGCTGTCGGAGACGTCGATACGGAGAGATGTCCGGACATCCTCGATGTACTCGGCGATGCGATCGTACATCGCGCGAGCGCGTCCTTCGGAGAGGTCGGGCGACGGTTCGCGGTCCCGAGGACCTGCGTCGCCGTCGCCCACTTGGACGCGTAGCGCGGCCTCTCGCACATCCGCCGGCTCGGATCGGATCGAGGTCGGGTACTCGGCGCTCATCTCAACGCGTACGGACGCGGAGGTAAAGGACAACCTTCTCGGCGTGATCTTGAAGGTCTTCTAGGTCGGGAGACCAGTGTCGCATAAACACCCCACACACGGCGGAGGGGTGTTCGCGATGTTCGGCGGAAGACCCCGGATCGGCGTACCGAGGGTCTTGAACCAACCAACGCCACCGGAAGCGGGCCGGTAGCGGGTGGTAGAGCGTGGTCGGCGGGGACGCGCGCGTAGGCGAGTGGATCGACGCCTCGACGCCCCGGAGCAGTACCGGTTGACGATCCGGTACTGACGGGCGGAGGCGGACCGCAGCTCGCCGCGGTGACGCGCGCGTCCTCTACCCGCTCGGTGGTAACTACTTGCGGAACGGCGGTTTGAGTAGAGTAAGCTGGGTGGTCGACCGTCGGTGGAGGGTTGCCTGTCCTCCCCCCCTCCGCCGGCAGTCGCTCCCTATATTTATTGTACAAGTTAATTAACCGTCTACAGTACAGTACGGACTGTACTGTAGTCGGCTTACTGTAGACAGTGCGGGTCGGCCCGCACTGTAACGCTGTCAGCCGTCGGGGCTGACAGCACACGTGTGCTACACGTGGGGTACACGTGTTAGTGCGCGCGCGCTGTAAGGTATGCGCGCGCGCACGCTGTAAGGTCCGTACCTTACAGCGTTAGATCTAATTCTAAATCTAATGTATAGTACAGTAGCCGGCGGTTATGCTACAACGACGACCATTCGTCGCAGCTTGGATATGTCGTTTTGTTATGTGATGCCTCGGATAGGTGTCACGTCTTGGACTTCGCCAGTCGTAAATGCAAACGTGTCGTAAGGTCAATCATGGCAGGGGAGATCTACGCGTTCGCCGAAGGGTTCGATGATGTGTTTGCCATTCGACACACATTGGAGAAACTCTACAAGCGTAAGATCCCTATTACGATGCTTACAGATTCCAAGCAGATGTTCGACGTGATAACTAAGGCCTCCCACACAGCTGAGAAGCGCTTGATGATCGACATAGCCGCATCCCGAGAAGCGTACAACAAGCACGAGATATCGAACGTGGGATTGGTATTGTCAGAGCACAATATCGCTGATGGATTAACAAAGGTCAATAGATGTAAGGCCTTGGAGGAAGTCGTGAAGACTGGTTTTGACAAAAATCCAGTTCAACAATGGATCTTCCGTCGTATTGAATGAGTATGAAGACTACTTGTTTGGTTTTTAAAGGGTGGCAGTGTAAGAATTATGAAGTATAAGGCGTTTCCAGTGTAATCTAGAATTATCGGGAACTGTTGAGGACGTGTAAGCAACGGCGCTGTACTGCGCTGTACCTTGCTGTCAGCCCGCACGCGGGTTGCAACTTTAATTCGCCAACACATCCAGCGCACAGTATCCTTGCTGTAATGGTTACATTTAGTGTAACTACTGCCTAACACGTAGTTTTATTGGTAGTTGTGTATTTTGCTGAGCTGTATAGGTTTTCACCCGAGCTACTAAGCCACGGTTTCCTGTACCAGCTTAGATTTTAGAACTCTATAAAAGTCTGAGTTCGTGTGGGCTTAGAGGACTAGCCTCACCCATTACCAACCGAACATCAACGAATATCAACGAGAAGTATTTCCTCAGAACGAACTAGCCGATCTAGTGTTCACCTCGGACAGGCTGTCCCTCACGCCCATCGGGGGGTACCTTCGGACATCGGCAAGTAGGTGTCCAATCCGAGTTTCATTTTAAAGGGGTGCTCCCGACGAGCACTTATCAAGCTATCTAATCAGCTTTACAGTGTAACAGCTGTGAGGCGGGGTTTTTGCCACACAGGGGTCATGATTACAATAGGTTCTTCACTCGCATACACAACGTGTACACGAACGCAATAAATGATGTTATGATAAAGTACACGTGTGGTACGTTTTCTTGATTATGGCTGCCCTTGCTCACATGTCCCACTCAAATGTGAGTCTTTAAAAAGTCTGTTCTGTGGTTCTGTATAGCATCGGCACCCCCTGAAAGTTAGAAAAATAAAAGCATCACATGCAACCTGGAGGCCTTCTTGGAGAAGTTCTGCCGTGCAGAGACTCTTGGGAAGGACGCCGAAGTGTCTGATGACGACAGAACACTTGGATTGGCAATGCATGGAGTCCTTTTTCGATTTCAATAATTATGGCGCAGGTGCAAAACAGCAGTGGAAACACGTTTCCTCATGTGAGGCTGTCTCCAGCAGTAGATATAAGTCTTAAGCCAATCACATTGCATAATTCATGCAAATACCCCCAACGGGCAACAAGATCCCGAGGGCAAAGACCTGAGATTATCACCCAATATCAATAGAAAAAAATGACTTTCAGAGCACGTAGGCAAGGGTTGTATGTCTCAAATACGTCTCTCATGCAGGTCAACTGATTTCGTTAACGTGAGAGGAATGTCTGTGCAAGAATTTTCAAGGCAGAACCTTCATAGCAGAAAGGCTGCGATGTATGGGACATTGAAACAAGTTGCTCCCAATCTGATAGGGCCGACGGCAAACCACTATCCTGCTTCCGTTTCGCTTCCCAATTCCCACCCGCGAATTCACTCCCGCCCCCTCCATGAAACTCTTCAACTTGGCCTGAGCCTTACCCCTCAACATGGGTCATCTTTATACCGTCTTCTAGCATCTCATTCATCAAATTTCATGCTTTGTATTCCCGTTTTCTTTCAATTTCGCAATCTATGCCTGTAGTTGGACAACCTCTCGGCGAACGAAAGACTTACTGCGGCTTATTCTGCCCGACCTGGTTTCATGAAGATTGCATCACGAATGCCGCTCCGGATACAGTCGAAGCTTGCCTGTCTCGACCCTTCTGGCAACGGAATTGCACCATGAATGTCTTTCACCAAACAACTCGTGCACCAGCTCATCGTCTTCGTCGGCCCCGAAGTAAGCTTCTCCAGTTACCATGGGAGGTGCTTCGCCGAATCATGCTTTTCACAATGGATTCGTTAGATGTGTATGACCCTTCAACTCTGTGCGACCACCCGAGGCCAGGGGCCTGCAGTCAACACTGCAGGGAGGTGTTCTTGAATGTCTCGAATCCGGTTGCCCTTCAGAATGGCCTTCGACTTGCACTAACATGTCACGTCATGCACTCAGTCTTTCAAGACGCCTTGACAGGCGTCAAGCTGGTCAGTTCATGGCAAGTAAAACAGAATACTCTGATAGCGGCTTGCAAAATTGCTGCCAACAACTTGAGGGCTGTACACGTCGAATGCAGCGCTCCAGTTACCGCTGCTCTGACGGAAGTCATATCGCTGAGACCACCTGTTCGCCACTTCGTCCTCATTGGAATCAATATTTCAAAAGCATTGATGGCCGATATCATCTTCTACGTGGGGATCTCTTTGGAAAACCTCGTTGTCTCGGCCGCTCCAAGTCTGGATGACACGGTTGTAGACCTCATCTCAGATAAATGTGAGTCGTTGAGGCATTTAGAGCTCGGAGGGTCTCGTCGTGTATCTCGCATGAGTTTGATTCGGTTGTTCACAAGAATAGGAATCAACTTGTGCGGAATTGAAATGAATTCAGTCCATCACGAATCACTCAACGAAGACGTACTTGCAGCTATTGGGCAGTATTGCAGCAAGCTGACATGTATCCGTCTAAAAAACCTTCCATGGGTATCGGATGTTGGTATGGCAGGTTTTTTGAAACAGCGCGCACAGCAGTTGAAAGAGTTGCGAATCGTTGATTGTCACAGGGCATCGTTTCGCATTCTTTGCTTTTTTTGCAAACGCAGCACTGTGCTTGAGAAGCTTCATTTCTCAGTACAAAAGGGATCATGGATTCCGCTCCGAAGGCAGATGGAAGCGGGGTACATAACATCATCAGACGAGGAGAGAGTGGTCGAGTACACAGAAGATGATATTTATTTAAGTGGAGGGGAGAAAGCGTTAGTGCGGCTATCTCGCAAATGCCGACATTTGCACCATCTTACTATCTCTGATATTAGCGTTTCTGACGCAGCTCTAAGCTGCATTTCTAAAGCGAGTGGACCCTCATTGAGGTATTTGAACATCCGACATTGCTATTCCCTCGGAAATGCAACTCTCCTCAGTTGGGCGAAACACTGTCGGTCACTCATTTCTCTCGACATCTCATATCTTCCAATGGTGGAAGATTCCGCTTTTGAGGAGCTACTGCGTGCGCTTCAAGACTCGTTAGAGGAATTGCAAATTCTTGGATGCACCGGACTGACCAATAACGCAATTCAAAACATCATACCTCGATATGGCAGACGCCTGCAAGTCGTAAGGCTTTCCTACTGCAACTTCTCGATGTCAGCTCTCTCTTCTCTCAAAGAGGCTTTACCTCGGGTAACTCTATTCGGTACGTCAAATGGAGCGAGATGACACTTTTTTCAGGAAGGATTTCGGACAAAGGGCCTAGTCCATATTACACAGCAATCGACAAGCCACAGGATGCGGAAATTTTCCGGAGGCGGCCTTTTCAAGCCACTGCCGAGCTACTGTCAGGTTTCTTTTGAGCCACGTTCCCCGAATCAAGCAGATAGCAAGATAAACCTGAGCGTCTCGTAAACCCAGTGCTGCTGCTTTCTTCAAGCAGTCCATAACATGGGGTCGATTGGGGATGCGAGCATCGGTGTGGAGCAGGAACAAGGTGATTTTCAACAGCATCCACGGATCCCCCGTGGAAAGAGCTCCCGGAAAAGAGCTCGTCACAATCGACCTGAGAGATGGAGAAACTGCGGCTGCTAGATAAGCTTGCTTTGCTGTGTCTGCATCACATTCCATTCCTAGGCCAATTTCGAAACAAAAGCCAGACCATAGGAGACATGTCAGTGAATTTCGTGCAATTCCCATAGCGAGGAGGTTGAGACAAGATGCATAGCTCCTCTCGCCAAAAGTGCCGTCCATCCAACACAGTGCGCGGATCTCAAAAGCTTCAACTGATCCTTGAAGCATTGCCTGACGCAGCATGTCACGAGCCTTTTCTGGCTGCGATCTTACGCCGATGCCGAAAATTTGTGCTACAGCATTGGCAACTAGAGAGTCTGGACAGCCTGTTTTCGCTGCTGCTTCGTAGTATTTGTAAGCGTTTCTCAAGTTTTGAACACTAGAAGAAGTGTCGACGTAGCGGAACTCGAAGCCTAGTTGGGCCAGACGCGTCCTATCAGCTGCCATTCGATATACTTGCGGACTCGATGGAGTTGGAGCAGTGCAGTTCACCTTTTCGGGCGTGAGCTGGCGGTTGTTAGAGACCTGTTTGTCTGTCTCAAACTTGTTTGGGCCAGGGTCCTTAATACGACTGTCCCTGAGGGGAATGCCTTTGAATTTCCCAGCACATGGCGATGTGCTTTGAGGCGCAGTGTCTTGTTCTGATGCGGAATTGTGTTCAGTTGTGGACGTACAATCTCCATCGCTGAGCTCTGAACCGGGAAAGCGCAAGGAATCGATAGATGCAAGGCTCCATCGCGACGATTCTGAGCCGAAGTTGGAATCAGAAGTTGCGATTCCGCTGGTCGCTGCTTGTAAGGCACCCAGAACAGAGGCACTGGTGATTCGATTCCTTGTATCCTCTTCTTCCATTGTGATCAATCGAAGCCTGTCCATAGAACACAATAACAGCTAAGCCCAGGAACAATGCGTACAGTGATGATGAAGACTACGCTGTTCGGCACTCCTTTCACGCAACCCTTTGGCCTTGAAGTACTTGTTAAACAAGTTCACATTTTGAGAGAGCTGTTCTCGGGAAGGCTGCTATCACGACCAATGTGAAGAAGTGATCATGTTAAAAACTATGTCGTTCGCCTACGCAAACAGTGAACTTGCTCTTTTTGTGACATGAATTTTTGATAAAATCTTGTAACGAGGAGATCCCTTGTCCACGTCTGACCTTTCGACGAGATGAAACCGAATATTGAAACAGTTTCAAGAGCATTATCTCCTTTGTTTGTACCTGTCGATAAGCGGAATGCCGTTTCGGATGGAGTGTTCTGTTTTGAAAGGATGCGGACGGTATCGCGCATTAGTCACCAGAACGGTAGGGGCATGGGCTGAAATAATATCTCCCAGACAAGTTGCCGTTGGCAGTCGTGATGATTGGCAGCAATTGCATGCAGTGGTGGTGTGCATCTCAGTCAATCACAGTTTCGGCAAATACAGGAAGTAGAAACTGGAAAGCATTTGGGGCTGCGGAGAACGAAATAGTCCTAGCCTTCCCCCTCTGCCGCAAATGTCTTGCGCATGTGTGCAACCGTTTGCACACGGAGACGAGTCGAAGCAAGGTGTTTGAGATCCTGTGGGGTCCATAATAAGTGTGAGTACCCAAGTACCCTTGGTACTGTATCCTGAGTAATCTCTTGATCCATCGCAGTGCGGTACATCAAATAATGCATCCATTGACAAGGATCAGAGAGGTGAATTATTCAAAAAGGGCGTTGCTTAACACGTCCATTTGGCAAGCCCTTTCGTCTGTGTCCAGTGTTGTCTTGTTATCGTTTTTTGCCATGCTAGTAGGCGTTGAGAAAAGTAACAGTTCGCAAGTTGAACGCGTGGGGCGGGAGCGCAGACGCCGGTATACCTGGCGGGGTGGTCTTCCCCACTAAAGATGCCGCTATTCCACAATGTCAACTGTTCGCACTACTTCGAGGTGCCCTACTCAGAGGGCAGTGCTCTTCGGCCACATTTCATTGATGCGGTTGTGCCAGGAACAAAAGAGAAAATATGTGAATTATTGCCGTCAAGAACATCCAATCAGGGCAGACTTTACTGACGCGGCCACCGGCGGTGCAGGCGCGATGGGCCGCCTTCCTCCCAGCGCTGCGATTTCCGAACGCATCGTCCAGCTGTAACAGGCAAGTCTCTACGAGCTTCCGCCCCCCACCCTCCCGCTCCAGTTGGAAGTATCCTGCCACTGTTCACCATGGGGAAAAGTAAGCGGAGCAAGGTCAAGATGGCTTACAAGGCCATGCGTCGCGCGGTCATGGAACCGAAGCACGACGCGCAGTTGCGCGAGAAGGCCGCCAAAGTATACGAAGCGATAGGTCTCCCATTACCTGAGGAGCGCACGGCGGAGGAACGTATGAAACCGAGAATGCATGGCGGCAGCGAGTTGGTGTCGACGTTTGTCCTCACGCCAAAGGGCCCGAAGCTCAACGTTGTGCACGGCCCCAACGCCGCCGACGACCCGCTCATGAGAATACCGAAGGGCATTATTGGATTCCCCATCGTGGGGGCCGGCGCAAGGGCCAAGATGAGAGCGGAGCTTCCCGTACCGCAAAAGCGAGTCAGGGCTATAGATGTTGATGAGGACGAGTTTGAACAGGTGGAGGCGACACCTTATTTTTATCCCAGGCGGGCGCGGAAGAGTGGCGGTATTAAGAAGGGCAGAAAGCAAAAGCAAAAGACAAGAAAGGCTGTTCGGAAGCCAAAAGCGATGCAAGGCGTGGAGGCGGTTTCGGCGTAGAAGCCGCCTTCTCGAATTGGTAGTTTGCTACATATCTCCATGGTGTTCAGAAGGAGCGCGAACTCGACCGACGCCCAGCAGTGATTCGCGCTCGTGAGAACAGGTTTTGATGATTGAGGTTGTACAGAGCGAAATAGGTCGTACGGCCGTCGCGATGAGAACGGAATAAAAGCAAGGAGACATGTTGAGAGATCTGTTTACTTATGCTTTCGCCTTAACTGTCTCGACCGCATGCATGACGAGCTCATTGACCTCAGCAATTGGTCGCGCCGCGTCAACTGCATGAAGGATACCCGCCTTGCTATAGTAATCCAAAACCGGCTTTGTCTGGGAATGGAAGGAGGAAAGCCTTTTCTTAAGCGTCTCTTCATTATCATCACTCCTACGAATAAGATCCTCTCCGGTTTGATCGTCCTTCATGTGCTCCTTCGGAGGATTAAACTCAGTATGATAGCTCCTCCCACTGGAGGGATGGAAGAGCCTTCCTGTGATCCTCTTGACGAGCAAATTATCTTCAATGGCAAAGTTGATCACCGAATCGACGCCCTTCATGCCATTCTTTGCAAGCATGTCATCAAGCTTCTGGGCTTGAGTGACAGTCCTCGGAAAGCCGTCGAGAATGAAGCCCTTCTCGCAGGCTTTGGACCCCAAGTTCTCGCGGATGAGACCGACGACAATCTCATCGGAGACGAGTGCGCCGGCGTCCATGACCTTCTTGGCCTCCTTTCCGAGCTCGGATCCGGACTTGACGGCGGCGCGGAGCATGTCACCCGTGGCAAGATGGCACAGACAGTGCTTGTCCTTGAGACGCGGGGCCTGTGTGCCCTTTCCGGAGCCTGGCGGGCCGATGAGGATGAGGTGCTTCTTCTCTTTGGGGGGTGGGGCGACGGTGGTGCCCAGACGACGCTCGATCTCGGCGACCAGAAGCGAAGTTGGGAGCTGTTGGATCACGCCGTCCAAGACGTTCTCGGGGGCAATGGTGGCCATTGTGGGGGTGTCGAGAGTGGGGAGCGCGGAGACTAGAAAGAGTAGGAGAAGAATGAAGATGACGAGACGCAGTGGGATGAGGAGCACGAGCAGACTAAGAGACAAGGTGGGATGGCGGAGGGGAAGGGGTGGGCCACTAGGATGGCGTTAACGGCGGTTTTTGGAGGTTGTGATCCGATGGATGCTGAGAGCGGGAATGGAAAGCGGGAACCCAATGGAAAGTACAGTGTAGCTGCTGCACAGTTGCCCCCTGAGAGTGCAAGATCGGGCAGTAAATTTATGCTTTCAAGAGGCCTCAATTTCCAGAAATCAGCAGAAATCAGCTCCATGCCATGATGTCAGTCTCTTCACAGTGTACCATGGTACATGTACTGCACGAGAAACACGTCATTCAACACACGTGTACACGTGTACATTCCTCAATGAGAGGGGATCCCGTAGTTTCATCTCCGAAAAGAAGCGCAATCATCCGTGCAGCGACAGTCGCAAAAGCATTCACCTCGAATCTTTAGGCATCTTTAACGTTGGCGAGTCTGTTTGGAAACTATCTTTCCCTCATGACGACTGCGACTATGGTTCAGTTAGTAAAAACATTTGCCCACCAAGGAAAATCGCACAGGGAAGAAATACACTTCGCCCCGTCCCTTCACACCTTGCCACTTGAAATTACCCCTCCGTAAGGAGAATGACCCATGCGAAGAGTAGTCTTCACAGAAGACATCTTAAATCCCATCTTCACCCGTGTATGGATGATGACTCCGATGGCGGGCCACCGACGGGGGTGTGTGCCGTGAACAACTCGAAACCGACGATTATTCCAAACACCATGGCCCGCCTGGGAAAGTATCCTTCAAGTCCGCAACAGCAAAAAAAAAAAAACAAGAAGCTCGCACTAATGCAAGCGAATCCCTGTTAAGAAGCCTTCTTCCCCTCTGCCATGTCACCGGCGACCGGTGCCTTCGCGTTGCGTCTTTCCTCGTTGCCGGCGAGTTCCTCGCTAACCTCGAGCACGAGAAAGCCGATGAAGAGCACGAGAAGGAAGATGGAGCACACGACCAGTGTCATGAGCAGCGCGCCGGCCCTTCCATCGCTTTCGTACGCGGCGGGGATGGTAAAGCTCCCCCAATACGCGGACGCTACGAAGGCGGATGTCGTCACGCCCCAGAAAATCTGCCGCGCCGTTATCGCCTGCATGGTGTGGGGAGTGCCGCGTGCCGGGGTCGTCGGTCGACAGCTCTCGGACTTGCTGTGGATTCGTTCAAGCGAGGCGCTTGAACACTTGTGTACGCGCCGAGTTGGTCTGTGGTGGGACGGGACGGCTGCGAAGTGTGGACTCGTACTGGCTGTATGTACACGTGGCATTGTGTACACGTGGTGTTCTGTACACGTTTGTGCCCCGTGGTTCGGGGCGGGACTGTAAAGCGAAGGGCACGCGTCAGGGCATTGGGCAGATGGTTATAGCGTCCAGGTTTGGCACGAAATCCGGCTTGATCAGAGTGACGTGTGAGCGGCGGCCCGAACCTGTGCGGCGCCGTTTGCACTTCTTTGCGGGACGCCTCCGCCTCTGTGTGTCCGCGTTCAGCGTGTGGTCGGACGACTAGTTGTATTGTCGTCGTCGTTTTTCCCGACCGAACGCGTCCTGCTTCGGAACTGCTCGTAATGAATGGGCTCGTTTCAAGACTCACCGTCATTTCTGTCCGTCAACCAAAAGGGCCGCCTTTGGGCCCCTCGCATTTGCTGCTCTAGTTGCAACGGCACCGGCCCGATCCTTTGCCTGACAGGCTAGTTTT